TGGACGACTTATTTTAAAGTCGTCTGGGCAGACGACTTACGAGGGCTAGAAACGTAAAAAAAATTCGCGTTTTTTGTTTGTTCACAAGGAGTTGGTTGTAATTTCAATAGCCTTTTAAGTTACTTTTGCATTTGATTCAAGTTTGGGTTTACTTTTGCATTTCAAATCAAGTTTTGAGTCATATTTGGCAATTTTCCCTATATATTAAGCATTTTTGGTGTTTTGAGTATTGTTTAGCTATTTTATATATGTTTAATTTTCACTTCTGTATATATTTTAAGATATTTTGGGCAACTTCAAAATATTTTATATATATTGGATTTTTAGGTTATTAAGTCTAAAAATAAATAATATTCAAGTATGTAAATCTGATTCGGATGTACTCGGATATCCAAAATATTTTGGTTCGGACTCTAAATATCAAAATTTTGATTCACTCCGATATTTAGCCAGTTTCAATTCGAATTAAGTACTACTTTTCCAGATCATATTTGGTTCGGTTCTTCGAGTTCCGATTTTTTTGCCTAGCTCTACCGGTAACAAAATGGAAAATGTTACAAGTTATAGTTACAAACTTATTACTCTTTACATCTATGTATCATACTACTTTTCCAAAACATAATTCTAAATAAGTGAAAATATCCAAAAAGGGTTTAAGTTACATCTGTTCAGCTCTCAGTTTAATAAAAACTTTCAAATTCTTTCTTCTAAATCTATAAATTACTAAAATATTAAATCTGATACATTTACATTTACTAAAATGATATACATTTAAATGTGATTAAATGAGACACATCAAGACTAAAAATAGAAAAAAAATAACAAAGCATAAAAAGATCAAAAACATATGACCAAATTAATGATATGTGAGACAAAAATAAATATAAATATCATTTTGCTTCAATATAACTAAATAAATACGTTTGAGTTAGGAAATAATCAATACATTTATTACAACTTTTTAAAGTAAAAATACATCTATTACATTTGAAAAAATACACTTAACAAAAATATGACAACAAAAACATAACGGCACGGCATAGTAATTTTTTTGCATAACAAAAAACCCGGGCGTAGCCCGGGAAAAAGTTCTAGTAGCCATAAATGTTGCTGGCAGCAGAAAATTGATAGAACCCGTGATAGCTATGGTATCATACAAGATGGAACTGCATACCTTCTATACATTTTTTAAACTTTTTTTATCCAAATGATCTGTAACTTGAATACCAAATGATCTAACAATTGGTGAAAAAGGGATTTTCTTTTCTTAAAAACAAATTTCACAGGCCATATATAAAACTTTTCTAGGTCCAGATTCAAAATTTATCATCTCATATTCACTTTCCAACTTCTGCATGTCAATCTTTCAGTCATTATTTCTCTTCTGAAAAAAAAAAAATCGTATACCCTTTCACTCCAAGTACATGTGTGTTTACTATGGAATATGATCTTTGTCAAATCTTATGACAAACATTGCACTTAAATTTTGAGTTTCTCTTGTTACTCCTAACTTATCCAATTTAGTTACATAGTTCTACAAGGGAGGTTATGATCTTCCAAATCTAGTATTTGCTTCCCATTCTAAGACTCATGATAAATGTTGATTTCAAAGAGTACAAGCTCAGGTGCGAGTTTCGTGGCCATGTTGAGGATGTAATATGTCTCTTCTTAATCCACTTCCTCCTCTACTATATTCCCTCCTTCTTTCTTCCGCCATCGAATTTGCATAGTCATCCACTTGAGTGTGATGCATTTTTTTAAAATTTCATGTACTTGTTTTATTTCATGCTTTATGTTGATTAGCTTCATGATTAACCTTGTGTCATTGAAAATTTTAGGTCTTGTAATTGGCCTTAACCTATTTAGATCAGGTCTGTGGAATATGTGTGTGCACTATGCACTGATAATACTATAGCTATATCATCATCAATTGACATGTCCATAAGGAAATGGTCACTTTCTTCCGATGATAAGCAAAAGTACTCGTATTTCAAAATTTTAGAAGTTCAAATGGGCAAAGTATATGAGAATTATAAACAGCCTATTTGTAAATTATAGACTCAACTAAAGTATAAACCCAAAATATCAGGCCCATATTTAATCCAAGTTATTTTGAGTCTTCTTCAATCTTCGGTACTGTTCTACGCGTCTCCAAAGAGATAAGTCTGGACACATGTCTCCTCTGCTTTTGCATGAGACTTCAAGCGGGTGGATCAGACACACTCTCTAACGCGCCACTGCGTTCATGGAAAGAGAAGATCTGGGATGTAACTCCGCCGGAAAAACACGATCTGCTCAAGCTTCTTTGCTAAACACACTAATGAATTTTCCATATTCTCCGATCTTTCGCCTAAACCATCGCCTTCAGAAAAACCTCCATCACTACCGGATATTAAATTTGGGAATACTGAGTCGTTTCAAACTCATAATTTAGTTATTTGAATAAATACGTAACTAAAATTTAGTTATAGAAGCAAAAAAAATTATAGAAAGACAGATTATTATTAGTATTTACTGAATTTATAAACTAACATACATATTTATCATGATATGGTTAAGAATCAACTAATATATTCAGAAAATTTAGAATAAAATAAATAAATCCAGAAAAGGAAAAAGGGGAACTAACTTTGTCCTTTATGCTAGCCGTGATTAACGGTATTGGGAGTCTTCTTTTCCTAGTCAAGAGGTGGATTCTCATTGCTAAGTGCCTTTGAAGTGTCTTTGTCTTTTACTTGTCACGGCGTTTCTGTTGTCTTTTCCACCCATATAACACCATTAATGTAAATCGTATCCTATATTTAAGGACTACGTATTTAATTTCTAACAAAGTATGCAATTTCTTGTTCAAAACAGAAAAGACAAAGTATCCAGTTAAAGCTGAGTTATGTAGTCTAACGGACGAATGCAATGTCTATGATTTGCGATTACACATTTACACCCATAGGACCAGTAATTAATATCGTTTGATAACTGTTGCTGTACCCATCTCATCTAACATTCAGAGGCACAAACCGATTTTTGTGGTTTCTATAATATGTAGATCTTAATTCGATATATGTTTCATGTACTCATACAACTAAATATTTGATTGGGTGTGGTAACTATTATTGTTTCTTTTGCACTCCATTAAAAATCATTAAAAGCAGTTCACGTTTTGTCCCTTTAAAATTATGAATCCATAGTCCTTTAATCAACTTTATAACCAAAAGTGATTAACATAAGAAAATAACATAAAGTAGCACCATATATTTTACTATCTTTTCTTCGAATATTATATGCAAACGCAAACTTCAAAGTTCAAAATCCCATAAAAAGCAAACCCATTTCAACTAAAAGAAAAGAAACACAAAACCCCCTTTCCCTTTTTCACTTGCAATGATAACAACGACTTAGTTTGACTAACAACCCAGAAGTAAAATAACTTAGTTGAAATAAAAAGAAAATACTTTTAAGAGTGTAGACTGTAGTGATCTTGAGTGGAAATCAAACATCAAATATATTCATCAAGGCTTGAACTGATCTCCTTGCTCCTCAACAAACTCTTCAGGCTGTTTGTTCATCATGTTCTTCTCCCACTTGGAGTTGTACGGATCCTTGAAGCTCTTCTCCTCCTCGTTGTTGTAGTTGTTGTTGTTTCCGTAGGAATACGACTGGTCGTAGTTACTCTCGGTCGCCTGAGAAGAATAGTAACCGGCAGGGCTTTTCTGATGAGGCTTCCTGTAGAAATGGCCGTGGTTCCTGTCGTTGTAAAGGTCGTAGTAGTAGTTACCTTTCTCCATGAACCTTGTGTCACTCATGCCTTGTCTCTCCGCGTTGTGGCTGTAACCTTTGTACGGCGTTTCACTCTCTAACTCCGTTCCGTAAGCGTTGGAGTTGTAGATACCTCTCTTGTCTTCATTGTTCTCAGAGAATGACTCGTACTTGTTGTTGTTGAACTCTTCCTTGACGTTTTCATCGTACTTGTTGTTGTTGAACTCTTCGTTGTTGTAGCGGTTGTTGTCGTAGCTCTCGGTCTTCTTCGGGTAGTTCTCCTCGTAGTTGTTGTAAGTCTCTTCGGTCTCGCTCAAGCTTGGAGTTGAGAAAGTCTCGCCGTTGAACTTTTCATCGTACTTGTTGTTGTTGTTGTTGAACTCTTCTTTGTTGTTGTTGTTGTAGGTGGTCTCATGACCATATAAGCCATAGCCGTTTTCGGACTCGGGGACAAAGGTAGTTTCTTGTTCTTGCTCTTTTTTGTTGGGGAAGGATGCTTCCACTGTGGTTTTCTCGCTGGTCTCGAGTGGGAGGACATTGTTAGGGTTTTGGTCTTTGGGGGATTCTCGGTGGAATTTGCCAAAGAAGAAGCTCTCTCTTGCATTGATTTGTGTGGAGAGAAGAACAAGTGCTGTGAAGCACAAAAAGAGAGAGCTTCTAGTGGAGAAAGCCATGATGTGTTGTGTAGTGTGATAGATAGAAGAGAAGAGACAATGTGATAGTGTAGATTTTTATTGAGAGCTAGTGTGTTTATATAGAAAAGAGTATGGCTCTTTGAGTTTTCTTTTTCTTTTTCTTTTGTGGACTTTTTTGTGTGTGTGTGTTTTAATTTGAAGTCGTTAGGTGCAAATGGGGACTGGATAGGTGATAATGGTTGATTGTGGGTCCAGTAGGATGAGATGATTTTTCAAAGAGGTAGCTCAATTTTTTACCTAAAAGATTAATTTATAAGAAAAACCCAAAAACTATCATCGACCAATTTCGTTGAGATGAAAACATGGATCTAGTTTTGTTAGTATTGTTGAAAACAGTTATGGAGTAGATACTAGATAGGGAGGCTTATTTAAATCAATGGACCTGTTGTTTCCTCCATCCATGTCACCATGTCATTGTTTCTTAGTAGCTGAAGAGTGGTAACCAAATTTCAACTCCTCTCATACCATTATTTTTGAGGTACTGTGGTAGCATTAGTTGAAAGTTTGAGTTTTATTTTTGTAAGAATCCAATTTTGTTTTGTAGAGCATCTGCAATATATATCTCAATAGTTTCCTCTAAAATAGAGATTTCTATTTTTAAATAAAATATAGAAGAATACTACTTTTTGTCTCTATATTAACTATAAAATAGTATTTCTCTATATTTTTTCTATTTTAAATCCACCTTTATAATAGAGTTTCTTTATTATAGAAAAAATATAGAGATGAAAGTAGAATTGAGTTGGAGTGATTTTAAGCTAATTACAGAAAAGTTGTTAATTAGAACATATTCTTGTTTACTTCCATCTTTTATCATCTTTGCATTTTCATCTCTAAAAAGATTTGCTAGGAATCTCACATTTAAACTGATCTTTGCATTAAACATATAAAAGAGATAAGCCAATCAACTCACTATCCATTGATTTTAAGTACACATTCTTCTTATTTTTGTTGTTTATAAACATTTTTTCTCTCTAACTCAGCCTTCTTAAACAATCGACATAATAGTGTCGTGTTGATCATTAGACAACCTCGAGATGCTCTTTTATGTAAAATTACTTTATACTTATGTCTTTTACAGGTCTCAACTTTCCCGATCTTCAAGCAAACCCAAAATTATAGTATATGATTATTATTTTAGATGATCAGACAAAACCACATTTATATATAAAGCTGATTTGAAATGCACCAGTAATTTTATCATCACGTAGTCATAATCATTCTTGTTTTCTAGAATGAGAAAACAAGAATATTTGATGGCTTGGTCCGATTAACATTTTCATGATTACATTTACATCTGAACTGTGAATTTGTTCTTAAGCCATTTCTCAAAGAAAAAAAAAACTATGAATTTGTTCTTGATAGGTGGTTGTAAGAATAAGCCAATAATTCAATCTTTAGATGCGAAAATGGTAAAACGATTTTTTTTGTTTGAAAATATGACATTTGATTAAATAATAATTGTGGTTCAACTTATATGACATATTCTAGAGGTCTAACAAGTATGGGTCCTTAGGGTTTCAAGATTTAGGCATTTTTATCGAAATACTGAATTATATTGTACAGATTTGCAAATTTTATATTTATATATATCAAGCAAAACAAAAGTTGGCTTGTTTTGTTTTTGGTTATTTTACTTTACCAAAAAAAGGAGAAAGAAACGTAATAAAAGAAAAAGAAGCAACGAGGGAGAAATTCAGAGGCCGAGGAATAATGCGAGGAATGAGGGAGAGTGAGTGGGATTGGGGCATCCCACTGATCACTATGGAGACACCAATACACCATCATGTCACCCTAGGCCACTATACTCTCTAGTCTCTATATTGGGTGTGTGACTCTTGGCTCTACATTTCTTCATTTCTATATCCTTTTATCATCCATAGATGCACTTCAAGTATATAATTTCCATTTTCATCTGGATAATTAGATTTCGCTGTAAGTAGATAAGACATCATTATCTGCAATCTATACTATTGAAATTAGATAAATGATAGGAAACACTAGGAATTTGTATAAACAAACAAATAAATTGACTTCGGAAAATGAGAAAAAGCGACAAATGTTATTAAACAATTGTAAGCAGCATTGACTAATTTGCGGAGAGATTGTGAGAGCAGGTATTTCTCGATTTCAGACTTATTGCGAGACATATCAACTACAAAAAAAGTTGAAAAGTATATAAATAAGAAGAATAAAGTGTGCCTGAACTTTAACCTTTTCCAATTAAAATAAAGAAGTATATTAATTAAAAGGGTAAAATAAAAGAAACAAAGAAAAAAAATCTGCAATGCAATAGAAAACAATTGGGTGAGAAAAAGAAAAAAAGAAAAAGAAAGGTTAATGCAATTAATCAATCAAAGACTAAAAAATGTTGGGAGTGGAGGTTATGTGGCGTGACTATCGGAATGGGACAGACAAATGAGGTCGTGTGGTGGGATTAGTCGAGCCGTGTAGGACCATGCAGCAAGCAACCCTCTTTTTCTTCTATCTTCAAAACATATGATATATTATATAGTTTAAGGTATGTTTATCCATCTTACAATAATTATATCTTAATTTCATTTATCTGTTGAGTTCAATGAGTCCTTAATAATACTAATAAATAATTCTAGTAGTTTTGAAGTTCTAGATCTTTATATATCAAAACAATAAGTATGTTATTTTCTAAGTAATCATATCTGCTTCATCCACTAAATGAACAAATTTTAGCCACTAACAAATTATAACTGAAATAATTTTAAGTTGAACCCTTAAAAGCCCACCGCTCCTTATTTACAATTTACACCTAACTAACAACGAACGAGGAATGTTTTGTCGCATCTCTTTGGTTGCGTCTCTTTTCTTACTCCAAAAATTGAACTTTGAGAAAACTGTGCTACATACCCAAAATTAACTGGTTTAAACCAGAGATTTACCCGATTATCGATTTGCTCACAGACGCAATCGACCATAGGGATCTCAATGCTTAAAACTAGACAATGTTTTGAGCCATAAACAGAAGCAAAACCATCTTGAATGAGACTGACTCATCAGTTGATCATGTCTTATACTACAAAACTAGGTAGAGAGTAAGATCCATGCTCCAAACACCGGGAAGGTAATTAATGCAGATGCCTGGAGATTTCGTTTGACAGATTAGTGTAAGGATCAGACGAATCAAACATGGACTTAGCACATTAACAAGACATGAAAAGAACAACCCACATACCATAAAAAACACCACTTCACTGTTTGCAAGAGCTGCTGTGATCTCGTTTCTTTCCATCTCATGCTTGATGAAGCCTTGCAACTATAAAGACCCAAGTAAAATGTGGTGGTTACACAATCATTACATCTAAATTAATTATGGAGAGGATGAAAATGTAAAGATTTTTAAAACAAACCTGGTGGTGGTATTTGGTAACAGCTGCCCAGAGGCTTCTTAACTGGGACAGGGCTTGTGTGAGACACGATTGCACAAAGAGAGAAGCATTCTTTACCTCCCAGCGGATGTCTCTCAAGAGCTAAATACAGATACACAAAGTAGAAATGAGAAACTTATGAGATGACTAAACAAAGGTTTAAGCTTCTGTTCTTTAGATTTCATATCACTGCAAGTCCGAGAACTGCATTCAGATTTCACCTTCAAGAGAGTGCATTTGCTAGGTATGTGATTCCTTCGTTTACTGAACTCTCTCATCTTCAAGATAAAATCAGAACAAGCAAAACCAAAAATTAACATCAGCAACGTGAATCTATACACTACTTTGGTCATCATTCAAAAACCTAAAAGCAGAAGTTAAAGACCTGCTCAAGATGCTGAACTTGAATCCACTGCTCCGTAACAACTTCAGTCATCTATAAACGATCAGAAAGTATTAAACACTTTGTCACAATAACAACATTAAAACTCATTTACATATAAACCATATTAGAATCAATCAGATTCCATTTGCTACCACAACAACAAAAAGACTAAACCCCCAAAATCAAAACTAAGATAAGTGCAAAGCCACACAAAAGTTGAGCTGCGTAAGCTTAAATACCTAACAGAAACAAGTCAAACAGAAGCCAGTAAACACCTGTTTAACTTGGAAGGCTGTAGCCTTAACTTGACCCTCAGCATCTCTTGCCTTATCCTCTAAAACGTGAAGCTCGAAGTTGGCTGTTCTCAAGGCAGCCCATAAGAGTTTAACCTAGCAACGCCAACCCTGTTAATCTATATATAAGTGGAGCTGAAGCAAAAGTAGCTCCAGCCTTGGCAGAACACATTTCACGAGAACATACCTCTTCTTCCAACTCGGTTATCCTTTGTTGGACCAAAGGTAAGCCGCTCTGCGATCAAGTAGTAAGTGTCAGCAACGCGAATATCATAATAAAGTATTTGCACAGTAGAAATCTCAACTAAGAAGACAGAAACAAAGAACTTCTATCATGAGACGGAACATAACTAAAACCCTAAATATGCTTCCAAGGGTTTATAACATATCTAGACATGGAGTAACAATCACATTCCCCTTATCAGTAGATGTGAACTCTCTAATTTCTCTTTAGCTTAACTTTGAGAACAAAACCAACCTCGAAGCTGTATGAAGCAGAGTGCAAATCAAGGATCTGACTTTCAGCATCTTGGATCAACTTCTCACGATCTTCCAAGTATAAAGTCTTAGCATTCAACTTCTGCGTAGTCTCCTCAAGAACATATTCTACATGATCAGAGCCATCAAGCCAAAAAAGAAAAAGTAAACAAGCGGAAGAAAGCAACAGGAACAAGAAAGGAGAGAACATTTTGTGTACCCAGTTGTGATATTCTGAGCTTAGCTGCGTCTGGATCATTGAGTAAGTGCTGGTCAGAACCGATCTGCTTGTTTTCGGTTGAGAAAACAAAGAGTGGCGAAACTATGATGGCGAGAAACAGAGCAGCCAAATGCAGAGCCATTCTCTGCCACCGGAGCTCCGTCGTTCCGATTGTCCCGGTAAGAGTCGAATCGTAAACTCTAATTCATATTTACTGAAGTCAAATGGAGGGGACTGAACCGGGTTTTTTGGGAAAATGTGAATTGAACCGGTTCTATTGTGATTGAATTGAAACATCTAGACACGACAGGGAGTGTAGTCTTTCAAACACTACAACGGCACGATGTTTAATATTAACGCAAGTGGTGGTGGATGAGAAACTGGAGAAGAAAAGTTCTTGCAACCTGTGAGCGGATCTGAAAGAGAAAAGCAAAAAACACAAGACCAGGCCCGTAAAAGCCTTGAAGAGCACTCTTGTATTAACAGTAATCAATTTATAAATTATATATATTGAATTATTATTAATTAAAATAAAAAAAAAACAAGGGAAAAAGCCGGATGAAGATTTGCATCATGAAGAGCGCCTCATAAACACATCAACGGCAGAAGAAAAAAACACACATACGCACGCGATTCCCTGTAGCATCATCCCTCAAGTTTCCACGCCCCCCTTTCTTTCTTTTTTTTTTTGCCCTTTTTAATTTTTAAAAAAATATAAGGAACAAAGAGGATTAAAATTGAGAAGAGTGAAAAAAAGAAAAAGAAATATAAGAAGGAGGTTGAAATTAAGATGAGTGGTACTAGGACGAGTACAACAACAACAACAAGCCCTGTTGTTGTTCGGATTTTATTATTGTTCATTCTTATATATTCCCCACTTTTCTTTTTATTTCTTTTTTTTACAATAATGTTTTTGTTTTGGTTAAGTAGTAATCGAAAGGGGATCAGGGTTGTTATTTGTTCTGTAAGAAAGCCCTAGCTTTTGCTTTTTTGTTCTTCATTGTTCTTTGTTGTTTTGTTCTTCCTTGCGGCCGCTCCTCTCTGTTTCTCATGGAGATGGGTTCTGATGGAGAAGATCAGATCAGGAATTCGAACCAGAATAAGAAGATGAAGAACAAGGTTGATACAAAGGACTCTCCCTCCTCCAAGCCTAAGCGTCAGATGAAAACCCCCTTCCAGCTCCAAACCCTCGAGCAAGTCTATGCAGGTTCCTCTCATCCTCATCATCAAATCTATTACCTTCCTTTTTGTTAATTTTGATTCCATCTTCATTGTTTTGTTGAGCAGAGGAAACGTATCCATCGGAGGCGACGAGGGCTGAGCTGTCTGAGAAATTGGATTTGTCAGATCGGCAGTTACAGATGTGGTTTTGTCACAGGAGGTTAAAGGACAAGAAGGATGGTCAGGTCAAGAAACCTCCTAAACCAACACCGGTCCAACCGGCTTCTGTTCCAGCTGCTGCTTTGTCCTCGGCGGCTGCTGGATCGGTTCCTGAGCTGGATTCCGGATCTGGTTCGGGTTCTGGCTCTGGTTGCAGCCCTTACTCGGAGCCGAGGAGGGATTTTGCGAGTGGTAGTAGTAACTCTCGAGCTGAGTACGAGACAATGGGGAACAACGCAGGGTACGAGCCGCTGCCTCAACGGTCGTCTGTGTTGGTTCGTAGAGCTGTTGCTTGCATTGAGGCTCAGTTAGGGGAGCCGTTGAGAGATGATGGACCTATTCTTGGTATGGAGTTTGATCCTTTGCCTCCTGGTGCTTTTGGAACACCTATAGGTACATTACTCTCTATTTCCTTCCTCTATTCCATATCATTGGTCTCTCTTTGCTTTGATTCTTCCTAGCTTAACTTTCTTTCTCTTTTTCCTGTCGTGGACAAACTATTGTAGGAATGCAGACGCACCAAAGTCATCCATATGAGAGCAAAATGTATGAGCCACATGATGTCCGACCTCGAAGAGTTAGTTTCCTTTACTATTTATTTTCTTTTTTTTTCTGAGTTACAAAAACTGTCTATCGTCTCCTGTTGTTGCTTCTATAAGTTGAAATATTTTACTGATCTACAGTTTTTATGGTAGGAGTAATTCTTAGAGTTATCACTGCATATAGGCTTACCAATTAGTCTCATGCTGGTTATTATTCTCTGATCAATGTTAGAAAGATGAATTTGGCTTTTGTTGATTATATTCTCTTTCTTGTGAGTTCATGTAATCATTTTTACTGCATTTGTTGATTATAGTCTCAAGCTGCCACCAGTTCTTTCCATGAACAACAATCTCTCAACGATCCGTCTTCCTTTACACCTGACATGTATGGGCGGTACTCTGAAAGTCATCCACGTGGTGTGGACTATGAAATTTCACGACCTAGGAGTTCATCGTTTATGCAAGGGAGCGGGCCATTACCAAAGTCCTATGGAAATGCTTCATCTCGTAACTGTTCTACATCTCAACAAGACATGCCTAGCCCCATCCTTCCATCAGCTCGTGGTGATAGCTTCTTGCTAGAGAGAGACTCATCAGGCCTCCGAGCTGAAGATCCATATTTGTTGTCTGACGGGGTGCGTATGAGTAATGATGTGCATAGGAAGGGAAAGGTAGCTTCCTGTGCCAACTTTCATTTCACCCCCTTTTGCTGACAAGATGTGTTCTTATGTTTATAGTGTTATTCTTTGTTTACTCTCACAGATTAATGATGGTAGAATCGGAAGAGGGAGTGGACCAAAAGATCTTGAGAAACTAGAACTTCAGAGGAAAAGGGTATATCTCTTCATTTCTCATCCTCGTACTGCTAATTAGAAAGGTCTTATTGTCTTTTATTGGTATTCCCTGTAACACATATTGATTAGTTGAAGCTTATGTCCTCAGAATGAAGAACGCATGAAAAAAGAGATGGAAAGGTATGAGCGTGAGAGGCGTAAAGAAGAAGAGAGGTTGATGCGTGAAAGAATAAAAGAAGAGGAGAGGTTACAGCGTGAACAGCGACGCGAAATGGAAAGAAGAGAAAAGTTTCTACAGAGAGAAAATGAACGGGTAAGTTTTGGAAACTATACACTTTTTAGAAGCCCTGCTGAGATTGAGCGACTTTTGTGGCAAGAGTATAGAAAACTAGACTTATCTTTCTGTCCGAATGTTAAAGGCGGAGAAAAATAAGCAAAAAGAAGAGATTCGACGGGAGAAAGAGGCTATAAGACGCAAGATTGCCGTTGAGAAGGCAACTGCACGTAGAATTGCTAAAGAGTCTATGGATCTAATTGAAGATGAGCAGCTAGAACTGATGGATTTGGCTGCTACTAGCAAAGGATTGTCCTCGGTGTTACAGCTTGATCATGACACATTGCAAAACCTGGTACTGTATAGAGGTATGGTCTCTCTGCCAAACTATGAAATTGATTTAGCTAGTACTGGATTTGGTAGTCTACTTAGGCTTTACAATGTGAACAATCTGTAGCTTCTTAGAACACTGCCAAGAAAAATTGAGTTGATTGTTTTGCTACAAAATCATTGCTCGTTAGATTCCGTAGTAGCTTTATAATTTGCTGTCTCATACTAATCGATCTTTCTCCATATAGTCATCAAAATCAAGATGGTCAAAGTAATCTGTTTATACCTTCCTCGATTAGCTCAACTAGTTTCTAGTATTGTAACTTCTTTCTGGATCTTGCAATTCATCATATCTGTTCTATTTTTGCAGATTCTCTGAGCACATTTCCACCAAAGGCTTTGCAACTGAAGATGCCGTTTACAATTTCTCCATGGAAGGATTCCGAGAAAAATGTTGGAAACCTTTTTATGGTATGCTGTTATTGATCTTCACTTTGCGCTTATTCTGCCTCTTACTTGAAATTAATACCATGAGAATAACTATGGATCAGAACAATGAGACCAATTCGCATGTCAATCTTTTAACATTGTTGTTGCTTTTCAGGTTTGGAGATTCCTAATATCATTTTCTGATGTTCTTGATCTATGGCCTTTTACCCTGGATGAGTTTATTCAGGCGTTGCATGATTATGTAAGTCTTTCTTTAGTATTCATTCTGACATTCCTTGTTTTCTCGTGTCCTACAGTTATTTTTTTACTCTGTATATGATACTTATATGTATTTTCTATTATAGGACTCAAGGTTGCTGGGGGAGATACATATCACTCTTCTGAGATCAATAATACGAGATATTGAAGATGTTGCTAGAACACCTTACAGTGGCATTGGAAATAACCAATATACTACAGCCAATCCTGAGGGTGGACATCCGCAGATAGTTGAAGGGGTAACTTTCTCTTTTCTCTGTATGCTATTATTCTTTTCTATTTTTTTTGGTTGGTTCAGCGTGGCTTCATCTTTCCTAATGCTTCCTTCTTCGTCTTCAGGCTTATGCATGGGGCTTTGACATTCGTAGCTGGAAAAAGCATTTGAACCCACTAACATGGCCTGAAGTACTCCGACAATTAGGACTCTCTAGTGGATTTGGGCCTAGGCTGAAGAAAAACAATTCCCGTGTGGCCCATACTGGTGACAAGGATGAGGTACTTATTCGCAGTGGTTCGGCAGCTGGTGATTTGAATTTTTTTTCTTAAACATTGTGTTGGCTTGATTATGTTTGCAGGCTAAAGGTTGTGAAGATATCATTTCTACTCTTCGCAGTGGTTCAGCAGCTGAGAGTGCATTTGCATTAATGCGGGAGAAAGGGTTGCTGGCTCCGCGCAAGTCGAGGCATCGGTTGACACCTGGAACTGTCAAGTTTGCTGCCTTTCATGTTCTCTCTCTTGAGGGAAGCAAGGGACTGACAGTAATAGAACTTGCCGAGAAGATTCAGGTATATTTATGATATATACATGTTCTGCTAATTTCATCGTAATATAGAAATGTTTTATTTACTTCGTTTTTATGATTTTCACTTGAAGAAATCTGGGCTTAGGGACCTGAGAACAAGCAAGACGCCAGAGGCTTCTATCTCTGTTGCATTGACAAGGGATGTGAAGCTCTTTGAAAGAATAGCCCCTTCGACGTATTGTGTACGAGCTCCGTATGTGAAGGATCCTGCGGATGGAGAGGCAATACTCGCAGAAGCTAGGAAGAAAATAAAAGCATTTGAAAGTGGCTTAGCAGGTCCAGACGATGTGAATGATCTTGAAAAGGATGAAGACTTTGAATGTGATATTGATGAGGATCCTGAGGTTGATGATTTAGTCGCTCTGGCAAGTGCCTCAAAAGGTGCCGACCTAGGTGAGACAAACGGTTTGTCTGGAATGGGAGGAGAGCTTATGTTCTCTGATGTTAAAGCAGAGGTAAAGAGTGAGGTTGAGAAGGGG